GTGCTTGCGACATCCTTACAGAAACAGATAGTCATAAAACCTACTCTTAAAAAAAGTTTCTTTTATTACTATAATATACATTGTATTGGCTATAAACAACAATATACTTGTATATGTATTAAGCGTATGTTAACTTGCTTTAATGTTAAAGGTGATGTTTCAATTATATTATTGCAAAATTATGTCATGAAGTATGTTAAAAATAAACTTTTGTGTATTTTGCTTTGCTTCTTGAATTACTTGATAGACGTATGTGCCATTTTGACCAAATTGCGCATTAGAAATGGTCACTTTTTATTATAAGTTTTCTTCTTATTATTATTCTTTATTATATCCCGCATACTAAGAATCTTGCAATCTGATTGGTCTAAACGAGGTCACATGATCAATGATAGATTTACCATCACTTGAGCTGTGAGCTAGGGGTGTGATAGTACTTCTGTACAGTAAGCAAATATTAACCGACTACGGAGGTAATGGTATAGAGATATCGACTGCTACGAGAGGACTGGCTGTTTTTATACGCTCAAGGGGAAGTTGATTCCGCTGCCATCACCCCGAGTAGCAGTCGATATCTCTATACCATTACCTTCGTAGTCGGTTAATATTTGCTTACTGTACAGGTTAACCCCCCCCCCCCCTTCAGTTTTGTTTTTATGTGTATTTTGGAGCAACCCCCCCCCCCTTTTTTTATGCCAATGGCTGACTTAAAAAAGATGATCTTACCCCCCCCCCCTCACCCCCCCCCCCCCCCCAAAGGAGCAAAATGTCAAATTTTAAAATTTCGAGACCAAAAAAAAAGTGTCCTCTTAATGAATAGATTCATTCAGTTTGGGGATTTGTTGTTTGAACCATATTCTTTTGTTTTGATATTTCACGATATAAACTAGGGAGGTATGCGGATTGCACGATATTCCATCGTAGAGCTTGGAGTTTGAATGTATTGTTATTTTAATCTTTTGCATATATTTCAACAAAATTACAATTTTGATTCTAGACATGATATCTATTAAAGTGTGAAGTATGTTTTTTAACATGATTGTATTATTATATCCTCTATACCAGTATCGCCTTCATTTCAACCAAGATAAATTTATTTAATCAAAATTACGTTTTGTATCGATGTAAAGCATTATGATATATCTGAATAAAATGACAGAGAGATGAGGTTATTGACAGAGATTTCGCAAGAGATTAAGAGTTTTTGTTTGACTCGTAGGGAGAGGAGAAAATTTAGTGAGCAGAAGAGAGGGGAAAAGACTGGTGCTTAATAAAGTAGAAAGAGATAGGGAGTCAGAAAGGAAGCGAAATATGACCTCAAAAGATCTTAGATCTTAGATTTAAGATTTGTATTTAGAATTCAACCTTAGGTTTTGGTTGCAATAAAGAATTAGTGATAACAGATGAAAAGAGTTGGAAAGAGAATGAAGAGAAAAATCGAAGAAGAGTGGATAAGATATAAAAAGAAAGATGAAGAGCAATTTTGTCATTTATGGAAATGAGTAATAGTTCAGGCTAAATCGACAATAAAAGGAAAGAAGCATGAGAAAATAACATTTCGTTATATATCGAAGCAAGCTGCTCCAAAATTCACAAGGAATATCCGGACAACGAGATACTCATTTCCTTGGATTCAAGATTGGTCTCCTTATGACAGAATAATGTTAAAGGTATTTTCGTTTGCAACTATTGTACATTTAGCGCCATTTATCGTCCGCTGGAAATATACACATACTGCATCGGCATTGTAAGATAATGTAATACATATACATGTAACTTCAAAAGCTACGCTCATGGAGTATAAAACAACGACAACAACAACGGGATACTTACTAGTGAATAAACATGTAAAACTTAAAACGATCGCAAAAACTTTCAAAAATCAAACTCTGGCAATTTCAATAGCCTGTGCCAAATATTGGAATGTTTAAACATGACAATGACATCATTACATAATCATAAACTGGTTTCTATAAACGATACGATAGGGTAGTGAAATTGCCCGTATTAAACCTTAAAGCTGATTTCTTGGAAGTCTTAGCGATCATGTCTCTCAGACCTTTCCCCTACAGCATGCCATTTCCAACTTGCTATAAGATTTTTAAAAATATTAATGTCCATATGTTCGAGTTAACGTCAAATGAGCAGTGTTTGTTTTCATGTCAATGTTAGTATAGAGGGGACACTAATATCAAGGGGGTGCATCGGTCTCACTCACACAACCGCTAAGGGGAGGTTGTAAAAGGGGTTCTATCATCTTCTTTTATCGTCCTCCGACCCACACACCCACACATAGCCTTTCATTTTCTCTCCTTTTTCTCCTTTCAATTTGATTCCATTCCATCGGAGGGGGGGGGGGTAGGGTTGTCAATGTGCCCGTGCCTTTGATTATTGTGAAGTGCTGCCATCGTTCACAATCAATAAAAGTGACCATCTTTAGCGGATTTTTTTCTAATCTTAATCATGATTTGTACCTTAATTGTAAGGGTCTGGATTATGCCTTTAAACTACCACATTCATTTCCGGTCATTGTTATCCACCGCTTATAAGCCACACGTCATAATAACCAGAATTTCAAATTCTAGTGTTCTGAGAGTATTTTGAAGGAGAAATTTTATCAAGGGAATTTCATAAATATGTAAGCAGGCGGTATGTCTATATAAACCTTCAGTCTCTCTGGGCTTAAATCAATTGTTGTCACAACACTCCAAATGATGATGAATCGTTCTTGGTACCTTGCCTGTCTTGTATTTGGAAGTCTGATGCTCGTGGTGCACCATGCCTCTTCCCAATGTAAGTCTTTCTTAACTATATTATACAGCTAGTATACTTGTCATTGTTATTATATCACAGTGCTATTTAATTCATCGTTTATCAATATCTACTTGTTATCTTCAATATCTCACCTCGTGGAGGTGTGATGACTAAGTGGTAGAGCAGTGGTCTCGTAACCGGGAGGTCCGAGGTCCGAAGCCAAGTCAATGAGCAAGTTCCCTTTGGTAAAGCATTAGCAAGTCACGTAGAGAGGCCTAATGGGACTTGACGCCGTCGGTCCCAATTACTTACTTACAAGCAAAAAAATGTTTTCTTAGCAGTCAGGTAAACACACACCATAACAAACAAACAGACAAAAAAAAAAAAAAATCATTACCACAACTTTTGGTTGTTGAATCAATGGGATATTAACAAACTATAAGAAAACCGTTTGCAGCCATCATAATAGTGAGATTTTAGTACAAAGAGCGTACATTTTTACATTGCTGTAGTAGCTATGTAACGCTAACACTCTAGAAATAGTTGGACAAACAATTCCTCGACTGCATGACCGATCAATCGGGTAAATCAAAGCTTTTGCGTTATTCACTCCGTTTGAACGAAAATGAATACTCAACTCTCAAGCAATTTGTTTTTCTTTCCAAAATGCCAACAACTCCCCCAAATCAATGGCCAAAATGCAGTTTAATCGATTTATCATGATGAGGGGGGGGGGGGTGTAGTGACACAAAGATGACCCTATTGAGTATAATGTAGGCGGTCCATTTAATTATCCATTACTTGGTTTCACCAATCTTAATAGGTAATCCAACCTTTGTAATAAGTTCAATTGGTTCTCGGATAATTACCCCCTGACAATTACCAGCGGGACAATGACCCCCCCCCCCCCACCCCCAAGAACAATTACCCCCGAAAAATTACCCCCTAGGACAATTACCCCGAAGATAATTAAGCGTAGACTTCCCCTTTAATGAAAAGGGTGTCGGTAAATTTCGGGGGGGGGTGGGTAATTGTCAACATAATACCAGTATTTAATTGATTTGAATTGAACACTTTTACCGAATTATTCTGTTTTGGAAAAAGAAAAGGTAACAATACTTTGCTCTATTATTGATTCCTTCATTTTTTATTTCGGACATTAGAAACTTCGTATTGCTAAAGAGCATCTGTGTACACAACTTTCCTCTCGTTTTTCTTGTTATTTTCTTACATTTCAATGAATGAACATTTTTGTGGTAGAGTACTTGGAGAGTACTCCAATCATTGAAAAATTTGATCAATTTATATAGATTAGACCGTTAAAACTTGGTCAGCTTAAAAAATAACCCTCCCCATGATTACCATAATAAGACTTTTCCCATGATTTTGATACATTTCGATGGATCTATTTCAATTCATATTTTATTTTCCATCAGCATTTTCAGTCAGCCTCTCATCCGGCGATCCCCCTTTACCTTGTTTTTATCGTGGAGTGTCGTCACTCCGAAGTGTGGCACGTTGACGAATGCACAACCTGTTCGTGTGATAACAGCACTACAACATGCGTAATTGAACCTTGTCAACCGGCATTCTGCGTTGAACCCCTTAAACTGCCAGGAAGATGCTGCTTTACCTGTCCGCACAGTAAGTCTTCTGAGAGTCCCCCCCCCCCCACTCCCACCCGCCCTCTCATATGACCACACCTTTGTAGGACTGTGTCGTAAATTCACTACTACAATACATACAACAAACTCCAAAATGGCAGCAGGATTTTTAATTGATTTAAATTTGCTAGTTTGCCTGAAACCGGCCTATTCAACTTTTACTGTCTTACAAATTTGGGGTTTCCAGGTTGATCCGGGGGGGGGGGATACGAAATTATCGCTATTTCCCTTTGTGATACTCTCTAACCCCCCTTTCTCCCCTAATTTTCTGCTATCTTCTCTTAACTTTGTTGGCCTCTCTTTTTCAAGATTACGTCATCTTTTTTTCCCGAAGTGCTGCGTATATGTTATATCAGACACGAGAAATCAAATGTTTCAGCATCCAACGTTTATTCACCCCCCCCCCCCTTCTTTCCCCCTCTTTTTTTTGTATTATGATATTATGACTAGTCATCAAGTCTATTTCTTAAATCTTGATTCATATCAGACCTGGCAGTGCTTAATGTCAGCCCTACCATTCAAAGTCAACGCAATGTGACGAAT